TCGATAGCAGAGTTAAATCACAAAGACTGATACTTTAAACGGGACGGCGCCGCGACGGAGGCGGGGCGGTGCCGCGTCGCGGTCGTGTCGTATCGAACAAATCTTGTACATAGCTAGTGCGAAATGTATAAAGGAGAGTAAGGTAATTTAGTTTTCGATTCGGAAGTTAGTCTGAATAGTCGTAAGTTAGGTTAAGTCGTGACGACCAGCGATAAGTATCACTGCCAATTTGTAAATAGTACGTAAAGTTAGTCGGTATTTTTGGTTTAATCGGCCGTCGTGTCGGGTTTAGTCGCGCGGCCGGAGTTTGGTGTTGTTTTATGTTTAGTGTGATCATACAAAGTGCGCGCCCGCGAGGTCACCAAGTGCCTGACACTCACGACTTAGTGTTCAATTTACATGATTTTCGTATCGGAGGAAAATCGCTTTTATGTGAAGTCGTTTAGGGTCGACTTTAGTTCGCGAACATCCACTGCCATGGGAGTTGTGTCTAGCTGTAGTAACGTTAGCAATAAACTGATTGTGATATTGGACGACTAATGTTCGACCGCGCACAATTTTTGACCGGTTTACAGACATACATAGATATACAATAAATATATGTTCATATGGCTCCATTGGTAATGTTGTATTTTGAGTAGCGGATACCACCAGTTTGTACGGTTCTTAGATTCCCCGCTAGAGGGACATTTATCAATTTGTACTTTTATATAAAACGTTAGGACATCTACGTGAATATTTAAATGTAAACACAAGGTAAAGTACAACATTTTATAGTATTTGTGTATTTACGTGTATTTTCGAGTTATCTGTAATTTATTTTCAATTTTGTATCGCAATGAAGTACGGCGACGTGTTCACTAGTACTTATGTGTCTGTAATAAGGTTCAAAATAGTTGATATCTGAATACCGTACTAGTTTGTTACAGTTTTGAAAATGAAGTAAAAATCAGTATTTTGTTATATAAAAGAACCAATTTATATCTTCGACAGATGAAATGATTATTTAAATTTAAAATGATTTATTAATTGATGTAGGTTTTGTATGATTTTTGTGACATGAAATATTTACAACTTTCGATAGCTTATTGGACATATTATTTGAAATTTCTAATGGCAATAAATTATGAACTGTAATATTTGAGATTTTTGTATCCAGCAGTGAAATTTTATATAAACTGCATTTAGTACATGTCGTCCGAATATCAATGAACACCAATAATGTCAATAATATTGGCTGTTTGTCCGTAACTATAGTGTAGTTTTAATGTTTTTGGATGCCCTTATACAGACGTTCATATGTTCACAGTAATGTATGAAGAAGAATTGTGTTCTGTGCTCACACGATCTCGCTAATGTTAGTTAGTGCCTCTAGGATTAAGTTAGGAGGAATTGCGCGGCTGCGCCACACCGGAGCGCTCACACCGACATTCGCCTCATCCGTGCGACGCGAATGTATCACTTCGGTCTAGTGTGTTACGGCCCTTAGTTTAATACGGAATTGTAAAGTGGGAAAGCGGAGGGGATAGGTTTGGCTATGTAGGTAAAAGGCGATCGCCGTTTTTAGGATGAATAAGGGATTTGGGGAAAGTTCGTGGATAGCAAGAATGCAGTTTGAAGCGTAAAGTAATTGACGTTTTGCAATAACGAACTCTATCGACACTGTCCCACGGTTGAAAATTTGTGAAGAAAGTATGCGCGTAATAACTACGTATTGGAGATTTTGCAGAGTTTGCAGACATAATTCTGCGACCGCTGCGGACAGTGTCGTAGGCAGAGACGCCCCAAAGAGAATGGATTAGAAAAATTTGTGTAGTAGAGAAGTTGGTGCCTGAACGTCGCTCGGGGAAGTAACACATCGTACGTTTCAATACGCACTGCGCTTGGAATATCTTCCAATGTACTGATTTTTTTTTTATTAAATTTAAAAATATAGACTAATTCGCAGCACTGATTATAGTGCCATATTAATATTGGCTCAGTTTCTTTTAAAACTAATTTCTTAGTTAAATTCGACACCAAAATTACAAAGACAAAAATTAGTCGTTTTGAAACCTTAACTCTATGATCTCAAACGTAATGGCGGAGGGAAACTTTCGTGTGCGAGAGCTCGTCTACAATGGTAATTGCAATAATTGATTCTTGTGTTGATCAAAGTACTGTATTGGTACTTAAAAAATCACGTAACGTGATTATAGTTCACTCGACGCAAACGAGATTGGACTTAGATGCTTGAGTACAAATTAATCTTCTCTCGAAAGAGACGTATCGAGCCGACAGAAAAGTAATCTAGCTCCGATATAGTTTAAGCGGTTCGAATAGATTATTCAGAGGAATATTTTGTGAAAAGCTAATCTTCTAGACGTGCTTCTAAATTATATAAATGATACGTTAGTTTAAGTAATGAGAACGGGATATATTTTTATCACTGCCGTAGCGAGGTGGGCGTGTTGTGCGTGCGCGTTGTGGGCGTGCCCTTACGTTTACTTGCTCAGAGATTTGTTTCCTTCCCTCCACCGGCTGATCGTCCGACGGGCGACGTTTGTTTTTCTCTTATAAATATGGATCGAGCAAAAGCCGTGATATCGTTTGAATTGTAAAGGC